TCTCTCTCTCTCTCTCTCTCTCTCTCTCTCTCTCTCTCTCTCTCTCTCTGTGTGTCCCTCTCTGCGGCTGCCCGGAAAAGCAGTCAGGCTCAAAACCTGTTCATGGTCATGGCCATGCGATGTGGTCTACAAGCAGCTGGTTATGTCCGAATTTCCCCTTCACCAGCTGCCTCCCACCCCTCACCCCCCTCCCTTCCGCCCACTCAAGTGCCCATCCATAAATCTGCGTTTTGGTCAAGGCAAGCGCCCAAAAAAACAACAAAAATTAAAGCCAAGTAAACAAATTTTTGCGTACAGAAGGAAGTTGTCAGACGAAATGCCAAAATGTCTGCAACAACAACCAGCAACAACAACTAGCAACAACAACAACAACAACTAACAACAAATTATTGCGCAGCTGCAGTTGATATTACTTTATTGTTGCCTTACGGGAACTGGCGATGGCTGAAACTGGTTGACTGCTTGGTCCATCCAACTGGCAACTGGTTACAAGACAATTCACAACAACAACAACAACTGGCAACAACCAACATATGACAAGCGAAATGAGAGAAGATCGCATGGGCGCAAAAGCAAAAGAAAAAACAAAAGCAAAAGAAAAGAAAAAACAAATTCGCATGCGCTCACATGAGACAACAGCGCGCAACATGTTGCACGCAGCGTGGGGCGGGGCCGTGGCGTACAGGGAAGACTAAGAGAAGAGCCAACTGGCAACATTATATAATAAGCAGCAACAGCAGCAACAACAACAACTTTTTTATGTGCCAACAGACAACCGGAGACAAAAGCCACAACAAAAACAAAACAAAAACAAATCAAAAGAAACGTAAGAAAAATCATTTCAAAATGCGCAGAGAGCAGTGAAAGACTAGTAGATACCCCTTGTAGTTGTGTAATCTATTGAGCAAGCAAAGGGTATGCATTTAGCTAACGATTTCCCCTGTCCTCCTGGCTAAACTCTCTCCCGATCCGATCCCACGATCTACACTATCCTGCTCTACCCCTAGAAGAGTACAAGACTAGTAGATACCCCTTGTAGTTGTGTAATCTATTGAGCAAACATTTAGTTCCCGATTCCCCCTGTCCTCCTGGCTAAACTCTCCCCCTGCACGATCTACACTATCCTGCTCTACCCCCACTTTACCCCATAGTAGGTTTACTCAGTCGAACCCCCAGAATGCGCCCAACGGTCCAGCACTACAGCAGAGCTCGCTGTACCCCACTCATACCTGCATCCAATGTGTGAGAGCTACTTCAAACGTTGCTCTACCTTAGGCTCTATCATCATATTATACACAAATATTTACCCAACACTACTGCACTACACTATTTATATAGAGATATTCGCACTAGAGTGTGTTTAATTTCCCTTTTATCAATATCTCTATAAGTAGACATCTCTCCTTTGGTATCGACGACGTTCAAGCTGGCCCCCAAAGCGTGTTTACGTCCCTCGAAAGTCTGTATACTCACGATATGAGAGCTACTTGAGAATATGCGATTGCCAAGCGATAAGAGAACTCAATCAGCAATCAAACGTGACGATTGTCAAGGTCGCCAGAGTCTCGAGTCTGGAAATAGAATTCGCATCGGGTTTTGGATATTTCGCAAATTGAGGTTATCGAAAGGGAATTCGTTTGAAAGGCAGCAATTCTTTATAGATCATTAGCTTACTATACCAAAGACTATCGCTCACTTTATCATGCCCCATCGCCTCACTCTCTGGATGTACAGGGTATAGCGGTATGCAACTCGCTGAGCAGAAGGGCTTGGGGGGCGGGCCAATCGGGTTTGCATTGAATAATGCCCTTCACTTTCAACATTGGCTTCTGTTTGTTTCTTTTTTACACTTGCAGTGGACGATGCTTCCGGTCATTACACTTCCGGTTTCTTCTATGGCAACAACTATTGGATGGGTTCATTGGCCCTTTGCGAAGCCATTTACGACAGTGCCAGCTCCAGCTCCAGCTCGAGCGGCAACAACACCAAAGGCAACAGCAGCAAGGACAACAACATCAACACAGCGAACGGGAACCGCAACAATGGGCTGCCCTTCGCCGAGGCCTATGCCGAGGCCTACAGCAGCGTCTACAACCCGCCGCCGCCCTTTATGCCGGGCTTCTATGTGCTCAAGCTGCAGCTGAACGAAACGATGCCAACACAAATGGTGAGTCAATGAGATCTATAGAAAGGGATGGCTAGGAGAGGACAAGCGGGAGGAACATCATATAGTGAAGAGCTTTTGGAGAAGTTTAATAGAGCGGGAGCCTCAGCTTGAGCCAGCCTAAAGATGAAAAGTTCGTTTGAAATTGAAAGTTTGATCAAGTCTAAGGGAGATTATGCAGCGCGAAGCAATTGATAAAGCTCAAGTTAAAGTGGGATACTTTTTAGTAAAGATTAGAAATGTAGTTCAACTTGAGAGAGCCAGCCTAAAGATGAAAAGTTGGTTTAAAATTGAAAGTTTGCTCAAGTCTAAGTGAGATTATGCAGCGAGAAGCAATTGAAGAAGCTCAAGTTAGAGGGGTATACTTGATAGTAAAGCCTAGAATTGAAATTGAGCTAGAGAGAGATACATAAAAAGAAAGGTTTGCCATAGAATGATTTGCTTCGCGTTGTAAAAGTTAACAGAGATGGCAGCTCAAGAAGCGAGAAGCAAAGTCAGTAAAAGGTTTAATTTGACTTCTCATATGAAAAGTAAGTTTCTCTCTCCAATAATAATCTTACCCTTAAGCTTCTGTTTCACTTGCTCCCACCTCACCCTCTCGCTTCTCTCTTGTCTCCTTGCAGCTACGCACTATTTATATGGGCGTCTGTTTGCCCTCGACCTGCAGCATTGCCGATGTGCACCGCATGTCCAGCTATGCGCGCCAGGAGCTGCCCAGCCGTGAGCTGCGCGTGCTGGACATACGGGTGCCCACGGATACGGAGTTCAACATTTGGTCGGACAAGACCTTCTGCCTGCTGATGTAAGTAGTCCGAAACGTACTTTCAAAAAAAAAATCTGTTTTGAGTCTGTCGCTAATGGACAATGCAAATAGTGAATGCCTCTACCGAACTCCACGCCCCTGGGTAGTTCCAGCGTTGGCTCAAGCCATTAGCATTTGGAATCGTGTGAAATGCGGGTCCAAAAAAAGTTAACTAAAAATTAAGAAGAAGCGAAACTAATCCCGCCACGGCATCCATTTGTTTGATTATGATATTAACAGTCTTCTTTCCTCCCTCTCTCCCTCTCTCTCGCTCTCGCTCTCGCTCTAGCGTGGTCTCTTGCATTGTGCTTGGACTGATCTGCTGCGGCACACTCTACGAGATCTACCTGACGCGCAAGCTGAAGGAGGCGCTGCGCCTGCAGGACAAGGAGATGATGAACAACAGCGAGACGAGCTCGGGCATTGGCTGCGCCTCCTCCGACTACAGCGACACCATGACCGCCCACGAGGAGGCGCTCAAGCAATCGAATCAGTCCGGCTCGCTGAAGCAGCTCGATCAGCTGGTGCTTCACTTGCCGCCCAGCGACAATGACAGCGGCAATGGCCATCATCACGAGCACGACCACGATCACGATCACGACCACGAGCACGAGCACGATCACGAACTCGAGCATCACGATCACGAGCGCATCAATGTGCATCATCATCACCATCACAGCCATCATCATCGGCATCATCAGGGCGTCAGCATCGGCAGCGGCAGCGGCAGCGGCAGCAGAAGCAGCAGCAGCGGCGGCGGTGGCGGCGTCATTTCCGGCTCGGGCAACAAGAGCGGCAACAACAACAACAACAGCAACTCAGACGAGCACCTGGAGGGCCACCTGCACGAGCCCGAAAAGCTAAGCATCTACTCGGAGCTGCTGCTCTCGTTCTCGGCAATCACGAACTTCAATGCCATCTGCGATCGGAACGTGGGCGCCGACACAATACCCTGCATCCATGGGCTGCGCGCCTTCAGCATGGCCTGGGTGATCCTCGGACACACGTGCATTGTGGTCTTCAAGTACTCGGACAACATGGAGATGCGCAAGGAAGTGGAGCAGAACTTCTTCTTTCAAGCAATCACCAACGGCCCCTTCAGCGTCGACACCTTCTTCTTCATCAGCGGCTTTCTGATCTCCTATCTGTATTTCCGCACGAACGCCAAGGGCAAGCTGAACAAGCTGAGCAAGGGCGCCAACGAATTCACAGCGGGCACCGCTCACTTTTTTGGCCTGGTCGCTTATCGGTTCATGCGCCTCACAGCGCCCTACCTGTTCGTGCTGGGCGTGGTCCAAGTGACTATGAGGTATTTGGCTGCCTACTCCATATTCGACCCGCCGACCATGGACCATGTGACCTGCCCGGACTACTGGTGGCGCAACATACTCTACATCAATACGCTGTTTCCCGTCGATGAGATGGTGGGTAAAGCGTCAATGGCGCAATATCGAGAAGTTCTTGATTAGAGCCGAAGACAGATCACTCGACAGATCCCTCGGTAGATCCCTAGAAGAACAGTCTCTAACACCGTCTCGATAGATGATGACTCGAGAGATCCCTCGAAGGACCCCTCGATCCCCTATACACTCTCGTACTAATCTTCTCTCTCTCTCTCCCTCTTCTCTCTTTCCCTCTCTTTCTTTTGTCTTGCGCAGTGCATGTTGTGGAGCTGGTATCTGGCCAATGACACGCAGTTCTATATGATCGGCGCTATAATCCTGATAGTGGGCGTGCGCCACTTCAAGCTCTCGGCCATAACGACCTTGGTGTTTCTGGTGCTCTCCTGGATAACCACAGCGGTGATTGCCTTCACGAACAATCACAGACCCAACACCGACGATCCCCTGGCTCTCTTCGACAAGATCTACGACAAGCCCTGGACGAGATTGGGCCCGTACCTGATTGGCATGGCCGTCGGCTGGATACTGTTCCGCACCAATTGCAAGATTCGCCTGCCCAGGCTGACGGTTGCTACGGCCTGGACGCTGGCGATGCTCAATCTGTTCGTTCTGGTCTTCGGCCTGTACCGGGCCGATCTGTCACAGTTCACAGCGGCCGCCTATAGCTCGCTGAGTCATTCGGCCTGGGCGCTATCCCTGGCCTGGATAACGATCGCCTGCTCGACGGGCTATGGTGGCTATATCAACTCGCTGCTGTCGGCGCCCTGCTTCTATCCCTTCTCCCGTGTCACCTACTGCGCCTACCTGGTGCATCCCATAGTCATACGCTCCATGGCGCTCAATTCCGATGCGCCGCTTCACCTGGGCGGAGATCTAATGGTAAGTGTAATTCTCACATCCGCCCTCATCATCCTTACTCATCTCTCTCTCTCTCTCCCTCTCTTTCGGCAGGTCGTCATGTTCTTTGGTCTGACGGTCGCCTCGTATTTCCTATCCTTTGTCGTCTCGATGTCGTTCGAGGCGCCCGTTGTTACAATGCTCAAAATCTTGTCACCTAGTCGAAAAAAACGTCTCGCCTAAGTCCGGGCTCTCCCTGCTCTATTTATGCGAATATCTACTATATATATATACACCTACCATATACATACATATATACCATATAGCGAGAATTTCCATCATCCCTCACTCTCTCGGTCTCTCTCTCTCTCTCTGTCTCTCTTTCAATCTCATTTGCTATTCTAAATCGATTCGCTCTTCTCGCACATTCTCAAACAAAATTCTCCACATATTTATAGCATCGACCGTTCATACATAACTTTACATTCCTTGCACGATTCCTTCTTTCTTCTATTTGTTAATCCACTTTTAATCACAATTTTTAACTACTTATATATACATATATATGTATACTATACTTTTTTTTTTTGTTTCGTAATGTGTACATTTTAGTCGTTTAATTTATTCCAAAGGTTTGGAAATTTTTGTGCGTGACGAAAACATAAATAGTACTTAGTAGCTATAATTATAAAAAAAAAAATATAAATAAATAAAAAAATTTACGAAAAATACAACTCTAGTACCTAATTTTACAAGTTCATGTATATATTTACTAAATATATATATACCTATATATATGTGTAATATGTATAAATAAACCTTTAAATAAAACTGCTACCAAATAAAAAATTGAAAAACGGAAATTTGCACTTGAATTTGAATTGTATCTCTTTGGCGGTTCAACTGAAGCTGGTCACATTGCGGAACGTAACATTTCACTTAACCAGGGCTGCATACAGCATTAGCAGCAAATGTACCAAAATGCTGCAAGTGTTTTCGGTATTTTTTAGCCACTTTGCGAACTAAGCTCGTTGAAATGTTGCTTTGCTTTTCAAATGTTTAGCAAGTGTTAGCACTGTTCATATTTGAATACCATTTTCTTATTCAATATAACACTCACATATATACAATTTGCCGATATTTTGCGAGTTCGAAACTCAGTCGCAAGGCTGCATAAGCTTGCGCCATTCGACTAAAGCTTGTGCGCATTTTGCAACACTGCAACTTGGCTACGCCGGCATTTTTGGCCCCTAATTAAATACATAGGCAAAAAATTGGTTTCCTCTGACATATCCTTTGTCGAAATTGCGCACGAATCGCAGGGAAAACAGGAAGAGTTGGCTTTGGTTCCGTGGTTCCGGAACCGTGCCGCATCATGGCCATGCCTTCGATCACGACGCTGGTGGGCGTGGTATTCTTAGCCTACATCCTCCACTCGATCTACCAAATGTCGCAGCTATTCACGAGTCTGCAGTGCACTGGCTCGCCCTGCTACACCTCCTTCCTGGCCGAGCGACCACGCATGCAGCTGGCCCTGTTCAGCTCACAGACCCGGAATCCCATCGCCAATGAAGTGAGCGACGTGTACAAGCTGAAGCGCTTCGACTATGCGCAGCCGTTCGACCACGACTTCCAGATCCATGTGCCGCCCAAGACCCGACGCAATGGCACTCTGTTTCTGCACGTGGTGCTGGCTCTGGAGGGCGAGCCATTGGAATGGCGCACCCTGAAGCGCGACGGACCCACGGTGCTGCACACGCTCAATCTCTGCGACTATATGGTGCCACGCGCCGAGATCTTTAATCTGATCAATCAAAACGAGAATGCAGAGTCCACCGAGCAGCAGCAGCAGCTCGAGAAGAAGAATAAAGCCGCCAAGTCGGAAAAGCCCAGCACGCACATTCGCTCGAACGTCTACGTGACCCTGCTGACGGACATGTTCGCTCTCTCCCAGGCGGACTTGCCGCCCGAGCTGGCGCCGCTGATCCGCGTGAATCGCATGCAACAGATCCTGCCCATCCTGCAGACGGACATGTTCAACACAAGACTGAAGCACCTGGTGCCGGTGACCAGCAACACCACCGAATTCACATTCAGCTTCCACTACAGGCCCGTTGGAATCGGCAAGCTGCGACTGATGCTGCTCATGGAGCACGCCACCCACGCGCTCAAGTCCATTGGCTTTGCCGAGAAAGACATCGACGAGGTGAAGGGCATCTTCTCCGACACGAACGTCTATCTGCTCTGCGGCACCATCTTCGTGTCCAGCGTGCATGTGAGTAGCTAGATGGATGAAGAGATCTATCCGATCTAACTGATGCACTTACTCCTTCCCTTCTCCTTCTCCATCTTTTTCTCTGTCCCTCTTGCAGATGCTTTTCGACTTCCTGAGCTTCAAGAATGACGTGGCCTTCTGGCGCAAGAAGGAGTCCTATGAGGGACTGTCCACCCGTACCACCTTGTGGCGCGCCTTCTCGCAGATCGTCATCTTCCTCTATCTGCTGGACGAGCAGACCTCCTATCTGGTGCTCATTCCCGTCGGCCTCGGCACGCTGATCGAGCTGTGGAAATGCAAGAAGATCCTGCGCCTGCACTTCACCTTCACCTCGTTCATCGCCCGCAAGCTGCAGGAGGGCGAGCAGCCAGAGCCCGGCCAGCTGGCCGAGCAGCAGACGCAGCAGTTCGATCGGGAGGGCATGCGCTACCTGAGCTACCTGCTCTATCCGCTGTGTCTGGGCGGCGCTGTCTACTCGCTGCTCTATCAGCCGCACCGCTCCTGGTACAGCTGGACCCTCAACTCGCTGGTGAACGGAGTCTATGCCTTCGGCTTCCTGTTCATGCTGCCCCAGCTGTTCGTCAATTACAAGCTCAAGTCTGTGGCTGCCCTGCCCTGGCGCGCCTTCATGTACAAAGCATTCAACACGTTCATCGACGACTTCTTCGCCTTCATCATCACCATGCCAACGGCCCATCGCGTCGCCTGCCTCCGCGACGACATTGTCTTCATCATCTATCTCTATCAGCGCTGGCTCTATCCCGTGGACAAGACTCGCGTCGACTCGGGCGTGGCCATTGATGCGCCAGCCCCATCAGCTGGCCGCGATCCCCATCCCAAGCGGGACTAGACAAAGATAGCAATAAAGCGGACAGAGCTAGAGCGAGAGCTTTCAAGAAGAGAGGAGCAACTGCTTATATTGATGTGCAGTTGAACATTCCGTCGATTTATTTAGGCTGTAAACCATCACAAACACACACACAGACACACATGCACACATACACAGACACACACACACGCACACAGACACACATGTAACTGTTAATTGTAGCAAATGCAAAATATCTTCAATTAATCAAATTTCGCCTTCAAGTGTTTCGCTTTACATCCGCTCCATAGGCAAATATTCTATAGAAAGAACTCTTCAGCTAGGGGGTAACTAAAGCCTAATCTATAAAATTTGTTCTTATAAACTCCTGTTTAAATTTGCCTTGCTTAGACGTTACGATTCCCAGTTGTAGCACATCTATTTCTGTGTGTCCAAAGGCGATCAACAGATGGGTTATATTTTAAGTAATAGATGAAGTACCAGATCCTTGACTTTACTAGTTAGTAGACTATGCTAAATTCCAGGTCTGAAATATATCTTGGATAGTTTTGGAATTCTGGTAGATTTTAGACTAGACGCTTAGAGATCCTGTATCATACTCGCTTCTATTCTGTGATGGATTACAAACTGTGCCAGAGGCTTGACAGTGCCGAGTCTTATACTAGATCTTATACTATGATAGATGGAAGATCATAGATTACGATTATTCCATAATTTTGCCAGATTCTGGGCTACCTCATTCATAGAGCTCTCGCTCATTTACAAATTGCAAGTAAACTTTAGGATCGACAGAAGATTTGATATAAGAACTATAGTAAATCCTAATAGCAGCTCTATATATTCATCCATAAGCATTGCCTTGCACACATTTGTTGCCAATTGTTATTTTGTATTACAGTTTTTTGTTTATTTGTTTTTGTTTTTGCAGCTATCGCTGATTTTGTTGTTGGCAAAAAAATGATAGAATTATTTATATAGTATATATATCTATATATGTATAGGGTGTGTAGCATTTAGGGCTTAAACTAAACTGCCGAAGGAAAAAAGAGTTTGCCGTACTGCCTGGACATGGACTTGGACATTGACATTGACATCGATGGAGCACAACAGCTCAGTCCATAGCCTAGCCATTGCGTATGCCCAGTGCCTGCTCCAGCTCGGCGCGTTTCTGATTCACCTTGGTGAAGAAGTAGCGCGATACAGCTTCATGCGTCCAGGGCTGATAGTAGAACTCGGCGCGGCGCTCCTCCTCCGGATTGCCGACCACATCGGTCATGAGCTGGTCAGAGAACAAAGCATGGTTAGCACTCTTATTGGTAATGATTCCATTCGCCAGACTTACCTTCAGATCCCGCGTCTGGCTGATGATCCAGCGGTGGATGAACATTTGCGGATCCTTGGCAAAGCTGAGAAAGAATTCGCGATTCGTTTTCATTTGGTTGATCGTGTCCACCGTCTCGTGTATCTTTGTGTCCAGTCCCTGGATCTCCTGCTGGCTAGCGGTGCTCATCAAGAAGTTATTCATTTGGTTCTTGAGCGTGTCGTCCACCTCAACGTCGATGTCGTAGCAGGCGGTCTGTTTGTTTTCTGCCCCGCTCTCAATGAAATGGTTGATCACTATCGGATCTGGCGGATGCAGCAGCGGATTCAGTCGCTGCGGTATCTCGGCGAACTTCATGCGCTGGCAGCTGAAGATCTGCTCCAAATACTTGTCGCAATTGATGTACTCCCGCTCGTGGGCATCCTGCAGCTTGTGCGTCTTGATGTACTGCCACAGCGCCGATATTATCACCGGCCGCGTCTGCGTGTGCACGCCCAGCAGCCGAGCCAGCCGCGGATCCAGCTTGAACTGCAGCGGCTGGTAGTCGAGCAGCAGCAGGATGGTGCAGCGCACATTGCGATCGCCGGGCCGCTTCACCTGAAAGCCGTCCGTCTCCTGGGTGGTGTGTGTGCGATGCCATTCGACCAGGTGGTTGTCCGGCCCATACAGCTCCTTATCCAGCTCGATCACCAGCGACTTGAAGAATGATGAGAATTTGCGCTTAATCTTTGTGTTGGGATCGCCCTTGCCATCCTCCAGCAGCCGGCCCTCGACTCGCAGCTCCCACGACGCAACGGCGCCTTCGTCTCCATCGTTGCTCGGCTCCTTGCTCGGATAGAATGTATTCGAGATGAAGATGCGCAGCTTGCGCTTCTGCTTCATTGGCCGCTTGAGTGCCTCCTGTATGTCCAGCCGCTTGCGCATGATAGTCGCGTCCAGCTTGCGTTCGAATGTCAACAGGTCCATGTAGGCCTGTGACTCTGGCACCAGATCTCGAACCTTCTGTGGCAATATCTTGTCCGCCAGTTTCTTCTTCTTTTTGGCGCCAGCGACAAATTCACCCTTGTTGGGACCGCTGTTCAGGTTTCGCGACTCGGCCGAGCGCTTACTACCGCCGCCGCCGCCACCACCCGAGCCACTGCCGCGCAGGCCGCTCTGGAAAGTGGGTTGGGTGGTGCGCTGCAGCAGAGCGGGTCCGGGTCCAACTGGAGCAGCAACGCTGCCAGGAACGGGCTGCGTTGTGTTCGGATGTAATGGAAAGCCGCGTGGCTGCTCAGCCATAAAGAGAGAAGAAACGAGCCCATTGTGAAAATTGAGAGATAATCGATGATTTGATTATTTCACTTACCGCGAAAGTGGAGCCGGTGCCTGGCGGATAGGGACGCATGCCGGGGGCCTGGGGCGGCGGTTGGTAGCGCGACTGCACCGGCGCTTGGCCAGGCGCAAAGCGTTGCGACATCTTTAATTATGTTTCACCTTTGCACTTGCTGCAGTTCACGAAAAATTACAATTTTTTTGATTACAACAACGCTGCGTCACATAAAAAAAAACTCTGTAAAATGGCGTCGTACTTAGGGTTGTAAAGTACCAACTGGCTATCGATATTTTCACTGCACAATAAATACTAAAAGAACGATTTATCTATTTTACCGATGATTTTGGGAATAAATTAGCTGATTTTGCATAACATTCAAAAATTTCATCAATAAATATTATTTATCCCACTTTTTGTGGTTCATTTTACATTTTTTATTATAAATATTGGTTACTTAATTCAAGATTATATTATTGAAGCTATTTATATTAGAAACATATTCAATGTATATTAAATGCCTACAACAAGTTCTGTAATATTTGTTATTTTTAGGTATTTTTAGAGTGTGCTCCAAACGGTCACACAGTGAACGTGACTGGCGTTAATCGACAATCCTAGCTCTTATCGATAAGTTGGCTTTTGCTTTATTTGTTGTATTTTGCTTTTAACACTCGAATCTATATTTTGAGCGCACCGAAATAGTCAGCCCAAAACACAAATATGGATGAGGAATGGTGGCAAAAAAATTTACGCGAGCTAAATGCAGAGGGCAAGCGCATGGAGACGCTCACTAGCATGTATACAAAAATCAACAAACAATCGGCTCTGCCGCGAAATATAATTGAGCTGCTCTTACGTGCGCCGGCGCTTTACGAATGCGCCGTTGTCGAAGGAACAGAGAAGGAGCCGCTAGTCAACCTCTGCACCGACTTCATGAGTACCTGCCTGGACCAACTGCAGCTCGACATCACCGACGCCTCTTTGCCGCAGCTGCTCAACCCGGCTCTACATCATTCGAATCCCGCACTGCGGGCCCTTGTACTGAACAATCTGCTAAAGGAGTTGCGCCGTCAACAGGCCAACGCCGGTAAAATTCAGCCACTGCCCAGCAACGAGCTGCTCGTCTATGTGCTCGACGAACTGCAGCAGCCTGAGACACAATGCAGCTCGGCGGCCATCAACATTCTGACCATTGTGCTCAGCCAAGGGCTGAACGACGAGCGCGTGCAGTCGAAGCTGTTGCAGCTGCTCAAGCAGAACGAGGTTGTGCGCTGTCGCGCCTATGAGCTGGGCGTTATGCTAGCCAAGCGCAGTGCCGACTCCCTGTCCTCCGTGGAGTTCATCTTGGATGCAGCGCTCAGTGAGCTGGACAACGACGACGTGCTGCTGCAGGCGAGCGTCATGGAGATACTTGTGCCATTGGCCGAGCAGAATCACGGTCTGTGCTATATGGAGAGACGCCGCGTCTTCGACATTATCAGCAATCGGGTGCAGCGCATCGAGGAGAATCCATTGGACTCGCTGCTCATACCGAGCATTATGAAATTCTTTGGCAAAATTGCCGCTGTCCAGCCGCAAAAGATCATCACCGGCTATCCGCATATGCTGGCCTGCCTGTTCGACCTGCTAGCCTCGGGCGACGAGTCAGTGCTGCCCACGGCCATGGACACGCTGGCCAATCTGGCCAGCACGGTGCAGGGCAAGATGCTAATGCATGTCCACTTCCAGCCGGCCCTGGAGCAACTGCTGCGCAAGTATTCCGACTACACGAAAAGTCTGTCGCCGCCGCTGAAAATTCGCATGCTCAACTCGCTCGATGTCATCTATGCCATCAATGCGCCAGTCAGCCAGGAGCTCAGGTAAGCGACCCAAATGAGACCCGAAATAGCTGTCACTTACTTTCTCTCTCTCTCTCTTCCACTTTCCCTTCGTTATTTGCAGCGTCATTTTGAAGAACTGGTATGAATGCTTTGCTGGCGGGCAGCAGATTAATCACATCATGGGACTGCTGCATACACCGTTTCCCGACTTGCAGCTCGCCGCGCTGGGCCTGCTGAAGACCCTCTGCCAGTACCAATGGGGCTGCAAGGCGGTGCAGTGCACGGGCGGCGCCATAGAGTTCCTGCTCTCGCGTCAGCACGATCTGCACAAGGAAGTCAAGTATCTCAAGTGGCAAATCATGGAGCTGCTGTCCGTCAGCAACGAGTTCTCGGCAACCGAAATCGTTCGCTTCACCGCCTACGTGAACGAGGGACCATATCATGTACAGCCCGACGTCAACATAGCCACCGAGCATCAATAGGAGTAGCAAACATAGAGCAGCTTCTTCTACATAGTCTATAAGGCCTTAGTCTACATCCTTGAGGGAGAGAGAAACGAATGTTAATTCTTTGCAGTTGCGAACTGCGCCCAAAATTCCAAATATATCTGTATTTACAATACTATTGTAATATATGTAATTTATAGTAATTTAACATTTTCTTTCCTTTCGTAACTATTTAGATCACATTTATAGAGAATCGAGGGCTGCCATCCTACAGATAGCTCATGTGCCTGTGCGACATGTGCTTGCGTCCCGATCCGCCGAAGCCACCGCCCAAGTGAGCTAAGCTGACGCTCAGGCCCGATTCGTAGGCCGTCTGCGTCTGGGAGCGCGTCTCGTTGTTGCCCAAGGAGCAGGTGGGCAGCGTGTGGCAGTAGCGACGCAGCTGCTGCTTAAACGCGGCTGTCGTCAGGGTGTAGAGCACCGGATTGAGCGCCGAGTTCACTGGCAGCACCAGCACAGCCAGCCAGGCATACAGAGCGGGCGATATAACGCAGCCTAAAAGGGCACGAATTAGACAGAGAGAGATAGAGAGAGCTGTGTGCTGCACTTACCCGAGAGCGCAGCCACCTTGACTACGATTATGGGCAGCCAGCAGGCGCAGTCGGTGGTCACAATGATGGCAAAGCTGCAGGAGAAACCAAAGAGATAAACGACTTTATGAATCGAACAGAGATGGAAGATAGCTGTGAGCTAGACTACCATCAGGGTGGAGCGAGCGTAGTAGCTGAATTTAGCTGGAACTAAATAACTGAGCTAAAGTCGAAATGTCTATTTTAAGTAAAGGATTCTAGGAATTTGACAAAACACAGAGGAGAAACCTTATATAGTGTATATATGTATAGTACGAAGTTAGATAGAAGTTCATTAGGACTCTTTATAAGCTGTATATAATTCCTATACACTAGAAGACAGAGAGAGAAAGAGAAAGATAGAGAGAGAGTTTATAAACTGTAGACTTCAGAGCCTATAGATACCTTAACTGTTTATAGTTCATAATCTCTCTAAGCTATGTATGAACTATAGAGGCAATAGACTGTACAACGAAATCTGTCAAATCTACATAGGCTTAATATAGTCATGTCTTTCAAATACTATAATGAGACTGTTCATAGATTATAAGGACCATATATGCCCTGTTTATGTATTAAGGCAAAATAAGTTATATTGAGACTGCAAGGAAGATAATATAGCCTCATTTTTAATGAAACATATAGAGCCTATGAAAAATATTTAGATGATTGATATCTATATATTGGCTCTACAGTCTACATAGCCTTATAGAAGCTTTAAAGAATCCTGAGACTCTCTTTCTTAGTAAATCTCCATGTCATCAACTTGCTTTTCAATAACAACCGAATAACCGTTATATTCCATTTGTACTAGTCTATGCCCTGAGAACTAACTCCACACAATGCTCACCGCGTGGCCACCACGCTCTCTCGTCCGCTGTGGGTGCTTCGCATGCCGCCGCCCGAGTCCCGGATGGCCTGGAGCATGCGCACATAGGAGTAGAGTATGAAGATCAGTGAGACGGTGTTGATGCAGATGAACAGCAGAGCCGAGTACTCCCAGCCCTTGGCATACGGATCGTGTATGTGCAGCGAGAGGCAGACGCCGTTATTCCCATAGAAATGCTCGCCGAAGTAGTTGCTGGTCAGGAGCGGAGCGGCGGCCAGGCCAAAGCTGATGCCCCACACCAGAAGCAGGCGCAATACAATTCTGCAATGGAATGGATTGCACATTATGCACACTAAGCACCAGTGTTGCCAAATGTCGGCTGACAGCTACCTAACTTTCTCCGTGTCGCGTGGCTTCAGTGGCCTGGTGACCGACATCAGGCGATCCCAGGTGACGAGCGTGAGCAGCAGCGTCGACGACTGGCAGCTGAAGGTGCTCAGGAAGCCTGCAAATAGCTCAAAATACAGTTAGTTATAGTATATACGTATATATATAAGTATATCATCTGGGCTCTACCCACCGGCAAAGGCGCAGAGCTCGCTGTGTCGCCAGGACTCCTCGTGTCGTATGTACTGCCCGCGAAAGCTGATGTCGGCGCAGGCAATCAGCGTCAGATAGATGCCCATCAGGAAGTCGCTGGCCGCCAGGTGGCGCAGGTAAAGCGAGTGCTCCACATTGCTGCGCGACTTGTAGAAGTATCGTCCGGCCAGAACGAGCAGATTGCCAACGACAGCAATCGAAGCCATGATCCAAACGCTAATGAGGGTAGCAGAAAAGAAAGAGAGAGAGAGAGAGAGTAGAGGGAAGAGAGAGTGAGTACAATTGACTGATGGATTGATGGATGGCATGGTTCATAGATTGAGTCACGATAAATTGCTTGGAGAAGTGAGTGAGAATTGATTGAGAAGTGATGATGGATGAAGACTTTTGCTTGATTGATTGATTGATTGAAGCTGAGCTTACAACGTTTTAAGAGTTATTTGATTGAGTGATGTGAGGAGGTGGCTGAATGATTGATAAGTTGACTGAGTGATGGACTGAGTGATTGAAGGATTGACTGACTGACAAACAGAGCTCAGCTGACAAAGCTAACTAAAACTGTGAAAGGGTCTTATGAGTTGATTTATTGATAGATTGATTCATTAATTAAAGGAAGTCTCTAATCAAATAACTGAAATCCCTCACTAAAGGAAGAGAAAGTCCTATAACAATTGGCATATCTAGATAATAATCTATTTCCTGATTGAGTGACGGATTGATGGACTGGGTGAAGGCTACAAGTGGGAGTGTTAAAGCCTTATACAGGAAAATAAAACCCTGGAACTGAGCCAAATCGACGTTTCCCTGGTACTTCAATTATTTTCTGTACATTTATTCAAAGCACTATGAATTATTAATAGAACAGAATATAAATAGAATGAGAACTTAATGAGGGGGGCTACTCATAGAGAGAG